CATGGCTCAGCTCGGCCTGAGCCCCGCGGTGTGCAGGGAGGAGTGACGGGATCTCAGGGACAACAGGCCAGAGCAAGCGTCAGCACTGACCTGCCTCCAATGCGGGCTCCCCTGCCTGGCGGTGCTGGGCCTGGGCCTGGCGCAGCGTGTGGGCAATGCTCTCTGCTTCCCCTCTGATGCACACGCCCTGCAGTGACACACGCGCGCGCGCACACACACACACGCACACACACGCACACAGCAGTGACAGGCAGGTGCACACACACAGGCGCACACAAATTCACACGTGCCCTTTCCCATGTGCAAATCCAGAGTTACAGACGCCTCCTAAACCTCCCTCCCTGCTACAGGCGGAGGGAGAAAGCTCCCACTTGCTCAGACTCCTCCCAGGCCCACGTGACCCCAGGGGTTTCCTCTCCCCTGCTCAGACACAGCTCAGCCCCCAGCACAGTGCAGTCCCTACGAGTGGGCTTTCCTGATGAGACCCTTGCCCCGTGCCCGCGCCCGCCCCCGGCCCAGGAAGGGGACGGGATGAACACGTGCCGGTCGGGGACACTCCCTGTGCCCTGTCAGTCCAGAACAGGGCGCAGGGACGGGCATGCTGATAGTTTTGTCACAACCGAATGGCCGACACGACACTTGTGGGCTCGTCCCATGAGCCCAAGTCCCAGGGATGGGCCCAACAATGCTCACGTCCAAAGGAGTGTGATGCTGAGTCCCACAGAGCTGGCCCAGGTTTCCCCAGCAGGGACAGGGGCTCTGCCCAGGGACAGACAGGCAGACATCCCCTCCCACCTGTGCCGGCCTCCCCAGGCCAGGCCCTGGCGCACTCTATGCAAAGCCCAGTGAGATCCTGCTCAAGGACCTGCCCTGGGTGCTCAGGACCACGGCCCCCAGGACCTAAGCTTCCCTCCTAGGTCTGGGCTCCCGCCTGCAGCACCATGACCCCCTGCTCTGGCCCTGCTCCTCCTGGCCCTGCTCCCAGACCAGTGCTCGGGGCAGGGCTGGGGGTGGCAGCAGGGGCAGAGCCAGGTGCCCCCGAGGCAGGTTGGGGACGGCTCTTGGAGGCTGTGGGGAGAGATCTGCACCCCATGGCCACCCCCTGTTCCCAGCATGGAGCCCAGTCCCCACCCCTGCCTCAGCTCAGGCCACCCCAGCCCCTCTGGGCCACCTGTAGGCCCAGCTCCTCCTGCCCTGGCCCAGCCCTGCAGCTTCCCTGCCACCAGCACCACTGAGGCTCTTTCCTAGGCCTGTCTCCAGGATGGGGAGGTGCTGCACTCACACGGGGCTTCTGACGGGCAAGAGAGGCAGAGTCAGAGCCACAAACCCCTGAGAACTTGTGTTATCCTAGGGGGCCACAAGTTTGGGGTGATCGGGGGTGGGCAGGGGTCTGTGCCCCCACTCAGCCATCCCTGCAGACCAGCACTGTGCAGTCCTGGGAGAAGCTGCTCTTCCTTCTCACTGCCCTGCCCTGTGGGTCCACGTCCCACTGCCCCAATATAGCCTATGGCTTTGAGATCCTGCAGACCTCGGCACGCTCAGAGCCTGAGCAGAGCACCAGGGAGTCTCCGGGAGCCCTCGACATTTCCCATTGCCCAGGCAGGGCATGGTGTGACGCTTATTCTGACCCCTTCTCCTTCGCAGGTGCACAGTCTCAGATCTGGAGGGGAGTTCAGGTGCCGGAGGGCGGGGGTGTGTGGCAGGGGAGGGATTTCTACCCTGCAAAGCCTCCGATTCACGTTTAGCAGCAGGTCAATAAACCAGCCCCACCATGTCCAGGCCAGGCCAGGCCAGGGAATGGGGAGCATCTCGCAGGGCTGCACTGCAGACACCAGCCCGGGGATCACGGGGACAGAGCTCAAGGAAATCCCGGTGGAGCCAGGACAACCCTGCTAGGACAGGGCCCAGCCCCAGCCCTGCTGCCTGCAAACACGGATAGGGCAGGCCAGGGCGCCCCAGCCTCGGGCCAGGCTCTGGGAGATGCCCCATCACCAGCCCTAAAGGGCAGCGTAGGCACGGCCCATTGCCTGCAGGCAGAGGGGAAGGGACTGGAGGCAGCTGAGCCAGGGCAGGAGGTTTCCAGACACCCGGGGCTGGGGCTACCAGCAGCTGTGCAGGACTGGCCCTCAGTGGGTTAACAACTCCAGACAACTGGGGGTCTGCAGAGGAGTCAGAGTAGTTTAGGCTCCAGGGGTTGGGTCCCCCCAGTTTGGGGTCTGTGTGGTGGCAGGACGCCGGCTGTGCTGTGGCTGCAGACTGCGCGCTCGCCCCCTGCAGCCCTCATCCCTGCAGGAAGAACAGCCACAGATTGACCACGGCTCGGCCGGGTGCATCCCTGCCCCTGCCCCAGCCCTTCTCCTGTCCCAGACACCCGACAAGTGCAGGGATCCACGTGCTTGATGCAGACGGGCGCACAGGATCCCTGCATGCCGCACTGCCCCGCACACACGGGCACCGCGCAACAGGCACTCGGCAGACCTGCACGGGCAGAGATAAGCGCAGAGCAGGGGCTCAGCCTCCAGCCTGGGAGTAAAATGTGTCCTGTGGAGCCATTGCGTCCGGCCTGCTAGGCTGCCCACGGGCCAGGACATGAGGCAGCAGGAGAGCAGTTCCCATTTACACCCACTCTCTCTTTCACCTTCCCAAACCCCAAGCCCCGCACAGGGGTTGGAGCTGTGTCGCACACCATCCCCCATGGCTGGTTTGGGGCTGGGCCATGCCACATCCCTCAGCAAGTGAATTGGGGCCAGTCCATGCCACTTCCCCACAGCAGCGGGACCAGGCCAGGCCAAGACACCTCCCACCCCATGGCTAGATCTGGGCCCAGCCACGCTCCTCCCCACCACCTGGGACTGGCCAAGTCACCTCCCGCTATGGGAGCACTAGACCCGGGCTGCCAGTGCCACGCTGCATGCGCTTGGATGGGGCGTGCAACACCGCCCTGGGCACAGGAGGAGAGCCACCGCACGACCCATCCGGCCTGCCAGCCGAAACAGTTGAACCCCACTGGCACCAAACAGCCACAAAGAGCCAACCACAAAGGACCAACTGCGCATGTGAGGAAAGGACGAATTGTTATGCTCCACTTTTTCACCCAGTTCCCTCATTTGCCCAGTTAAAGGCCAAATGTTTAACACCCTGAGAACCAGGTCCCCAGATGCTGAGTCCACTGCCTTCACCCCTCAGGCCCTGGCAGTCTCTCTTTCCCCACAATTAGGGCTGCATTTATTAGATTTTTATATCCCAGATTATCCCTCAGAGGGAAGGGAAGGCTGACAGCTGTGGAGGGATTTGCTTTGACATCTGGCTCATGGGCAGAGTCTGGGAATCCTTTAGGACTTCATCTACTTCTACTAGCTCAGTCTTGGGCAGGGTCACCTGCCCATGGGGCACGGAGCGGAGACCCGTGTCCTCCCTGATGTAAACTGAGGGCTGTCCAGGTTGATTGTGGGTCAAGCCGGCCTCCTCCTCTATTAGCAGGGTCAGGGGCCAGCTCTGCTCTCACCCTAGCGCGATTGTCCCTCTCCCAAGAGGACCCATGATCCACCCGTCTCTGACCACCTGTTCTGCAAGGAGCATGCAGCAAGCGGGACTCAGGTTTGGCTCCTGCTGCACAGCCGGCTGTTGAGCCTGGGCATCATGCAGAGCCTGCTGGTTTACCTGGCCCTGGGAGAAGGTCAGATGAAACACCAGCTCTTTGACCCCCGCGGAGCTGCACCAATTCAGTTGCTCTGGCAGCATGCGGGCTCAGCCCAGGCCCAGGTGGCAGTCAGGACCCCTCTGCACAGCCCCAGCCAGGCCAAGCAAGCTGGTGTTTGGCTGTGGGATGCAGCACTGCTCAGCTGGGCGACGTGAAGCCCCAGGGGGGTCCTGAACCTCAGACAAAGCCGGCTTGCTCAACAGTTCGCAGCATGGGCCCGGGACTAAAGCCCTGGATGGGGATTGGGGAGAGCTGTGCACAGCTCAACAGTTGTGACCTCTCTGTGCCTTCCTCTACATGTGGAGTAGGGCGACAGCAGCCCCAGCCTCTGCTGTGACAGCCCTTTGGGATGTGCTGGTGGGAAGTGCTAGGTGAGACCTATGTAAGACCCCGGCCGTGCGGAGCTGTGTCAGTCATCGCACCGAGAGCAGGTCTCCACGCGGCGTCTGCGCTGGGACCGCCCGGGCAAGGCCGCGCGCACCCAGCGGGATCCGGCCCCGCCCCTTCCCGCCCCGTGACGTCATCACGCAACTGACCTCCGACAACGGGGGAGGGGGGCGGGCTCACGTGGGAAACCTGTGGGGGTGGGGCGCGGAGCGGAGCCGTCAGTGCGCAGGCGCTGCGGGGAGGTGAGATGCTT